ACGTGTACAATGAGCCTCCACGTTGGAGGAGAGGGAGCCAAAGGGAGGATCTGATCGGAGAGGACAGACAGGTTTTGGCTTTCACTCCGAGTGAGCTGGGAGCCATGGAGGGTTTGGAGCAGAGACATGCTCTGAGGTGGGTTTGCACGGGACCCCTCTGGCTGCTGCGTGGGGGGTAGACGGGAGCGGCTGCCCATGAGGAGGCCACAGCAAGGCTGCTGCCGGCTTGGACCACATGGAGGCCACAGCGGCAGCAGGAAGTGTGAGGTTTATGGATGTGTCCGAAGGAAGGGGCAGTGGGGTCCACTAATGGATCTGATATGGGTGTGAGGGGAAGAGAGGGGGGGGCCAGAGATGCGCTGAGACTCCCAGGTGAGCCCCTGGAAGGATGGAGGTGCATTTGCGGAAGTCGGGGAAATTGCAGAGAACAGCCTCAATTTTAGTTTGGGGCATATTGAGTCGAGATGTCTGTTGAACATCCAGTTGGTGATGTCAGGTAGACGGTCTGGAGATAGGAGCCTGGAGTTCAGGTGAGAACTTGAGACTGGAGAGTCCTCAGTGGACAACGTTTCAGTCCCTGGGAGGAGAGGACATCCTCGGGAATGAGGAGAGATGGGCAGGAGGAAGGGAGGCTGGGAAGCTGGGAAGGGGCCTGAACAGGAGCCTGAGCAGCCGGAGACAACCGAGAGAGGCCGGAGCGTCCCGGGAGCAAGAGTGAGCACCCGCGTCGGCTCTGCCAGAAAGACAAGCAAAAGGGGGACCGAGAAAGTGACCTCTGGATGCAGCAACATGGAGGTCTTTGGTGACCTTGACAAGGGCAAATTCTGCAGAACAGTTGGGACAAAAGCTTATCTGGAGAGGTTAAGGGGCAGTGGGGAAGTGGAATTGTGGAGCAACAGTAAGATAGTTTCCAAGTGGTCACTTCCTCCCTCTGCTTACTAGATTCGTCAGCAGTTAGTATGTTTTATTGTTTTCAAAAAGAACCATAAGTTGGATTTACATATTCATTCCTTTCCTTTACTGTTTTTAACTTCATTTCGGTCTTAATTTATCAATTGCTATCTGAAGCCTTCCTTGGGTTTGTCTTGTCTTTCTTTTCTGACTTTTTGAGTGGGATAGTTAGTTCCTGTTTTCTTGTTTATTAATATCAATATCTAAAGCTATAAATTTTCCTCTGAGCATTGCCTTGGCTGCATCCCACACAAGTTCTGAACTTTAACATTTTTTTATTTTTATATTTAATTTTATTTAAGCTTTACTTTTTTTTGCTCTCTCTTTGACTCAAGGGTTATTTTAAAGAGTTTTTAAATTGATTGATAGAGTTTATTTTGTTTGTGGTTTTGTTATTAATATTTTCAAATTCTAGTATATTGTGATGAGAGAATTTTATCTGTTTGGTTTACTTTCTTTGTGGCCTGATGGTCATTTTGTGTGTGTGCATTTTTTTTTTTTTTATCCTCACCCGAGGACATTTTTTTCCATTTTTTGCACAGATAGAGTGGGAGGGAGAGAGAGTAAGAGAGAGAGAGAGAGAGAGAGAAACATCGACGTGAAAGGGACACATCGAGTGGCTGCCACCTGCACGACCAACCAGGGCCGGGGACAAACTGCAACCGAGGTACATGCCCTTAGCGGGAACCGAACCCGGGTCTCTCCGGCCCGCAGGCCGATGCTCTAACCGCTGAGCCAAACCGGCCAGGGCTGTGTGTGTGCATTTTCAAGAGTATTTGAACAGAAGGTAGATTGTGTTTCTCTCTCTCTCTCTCTCTCTCTCTCTCTCTCTCTCTCTCTCTCGTTATTAATTTGATTATTTGGCTCCATAGATCCTTATTTATGTTTTTGCCACCTTTATCTGTAATGGACCGAGAGAGGTGAATTAAAATGCACTAATACTAGAATATTCTGTCTTTTGATTTCTATATTTCCATCAGTTCTTGCTTGATGAATGCTGAAGCTATGTTACTTGGTGCATAGATACTCATTACCTTAGACCCATGTGGTGACTCTCATTCTTGATCCCCAAATAGTGCCCTTTTCCCCCCTTCATTCAGTATTTGTTGCCCTGACGTTAGCTTTATTTAATATTCAGATAAAGACCCTTGGTTTCTCTTGGTTTGCATTTGTTTGTTATGTTTCTGCCCACTGTATTTTTATTTTTATTTTATAAAACACATAACATAAAATTTACCATTTTAAGTGACTGCTTGGTGGCAGTCAGTACATTTTGATTGTTGTGTGACCATCACCAGAACTTTTTTGTCATCTATTTTTTTATATTAAACCTTTCTGAATCGTTCTACCTTCAGTGGATTTTGTTTGTAACCTAGTCTGAGAGTCTTTTTTAAGAAAGCAAGTACGTGTGGTTTATTAACATTTACTGGTATGGCAGAAACAGTTGGTCTTAGTTCTGTCTCACAGTTTATGATACGCTGTCTGCTTTCGTAGCTTTTGTGGGGGTTGTCAATTTTCACCGCAGGGCCTCTGTTTTCTTTTTCTATGTGTGTGTGTGTGTGTCTTCTGACGATTTGGAAAGCTATGTTTTTGATGCCATGCTTATCTTCACGATTATCCTGTGATACGCCAGCCTTAATCATCTATATTCTTTAGACAATGTTTATTTTCTCCTTACTGGGAACACTAAGTTAAAATGTGCTCCTTTTCCTCCAAAAAGTTTTAGCTGGTTATATTATTTATATATATTTCTGTTTACCTTTGCACCTCTAATGTTACTTACACCTCTAAAGGATTCTTTAGATCTCCAACCATAAATGCATAAGACATACTTTATCTCTCCTTCTCACCTCTACATTTTCTGTTTATGTCAGTCTCTGTTTCCTCTTTCATTCTTTTCTATAACCGTCGCGTCCTCAGAGTTGTTGCAGACACAGCCCTCCGGATAGCTAGGTTCCCACAGCCGGTGCTCTCGCGTTGCTCTGTCTACCCCAGGTCTGTCCTCTAGGAATGTGTATGAGCAGGGCTCGTGGGAACTGTAATTCACAGATATGTTCAAAAACTTTTCTGTTGACTTTATCCTTAAAAGATGGTTCATCTGGGCTTTAAATGCTTTGTTCATTTATTCATCCCCTGAACAAATATTTATGCAGTCCCTATAAATGCCAGTTACTGTTCTGAACCCTGGCGATGCAAAAATAAACACAACACTCAAACGCCTTGGACGTCTTGTGGCTTGGGAGGGGGGGATAAACAATAAGCTAGACCAGTAAGCAGAATACAAAGTGTGCTGGTTAGAGATCTGTGCTGGGGAGAACGGCAGAGCGGGCGAGGGAGACTGGGACCTGGCTTTGTTCTGTGGAGCAGAGAAGGCTCTATGGAATCTGTCACCCTGAGCCCATACATGTCCCCAGAGGTGCAGAGTTGTGGGTTTGGCTCAGCCCCTTGAAGTGTTACTCACTCCGGGAAGATGGGTTGTGCTGGCTTCATCAGAGTCCCACCCCCACCCCACCCCTCTTTCCCAGGAAAACATGCACTGGAACTTGGTTGAATGTGTTTTATCAGTTAAGAGCTGTAATAAAATGCAAGCAGCCCTGGCTGGTGTGGCTCGGTTAGTTGGCCATCATCTCGTGCACCAAAAGGTCACTGGTTTGATTCCCGGTCAGGGCACATGCCCAGGGTATGGGCTTGATCCCCGGTAGGGGGTGTGCAGGAGGCAGCCGACTGGTGTTTTACTTTCACATTGATGTTTCTCTTTTTCTCTTCCTTCCTTTCTTTAAAAATCAATAAAACATCTTTTTAAAAAAAATATGCAAGTAGCAGAAACCCAGGCACACTGGTGTGGGGGGAGGCAGTTTGGGGCCACCACCAGAACCAGGTTTTTCCCTGCTTTCCATTTCACTCATATTAGTGAGGGCCCTTCATTCTCGGGCTCTTACAAGGTTTGTGTCCCGCCCAGCCAGTGTGGCTCAGTGGTTGAGCATCAATCCATGCACCAAGAGGTCGCCAGTTCGATTCCTGGTCAGGGCACATGCCCAGGTTGTGGACCCAATCCCCAGTGGGGGGCGTGCAGGAGGCGGCCAATTGATGTTCTCTCTCATCGATGTTTCTATCTCTCTCTCCCTCTCCCTAAAAATCAGTAAAGAAAAAATTTTTTAAAAAGAGATGTGTGTCCCCTTTGCAGTAGACTTCCACTTCCAAGGCATTGGCCAGACTGGGTCATGTGATCTCCCCTCTCTGCAAGGGAGTCTGGGAATGTGAGTATTTGTGACTGGGTGATTGCCATACAAATGGATATAAGAAAAGAAATTCAGTGTTTCCCACAGATGGAGTTTGTGTTTCTGTTCCTCATTGTCCTTGTTTGGAAGTGATTTTGAGAGGAGAAAGGACTAAAGCAAGTCAACTCTGCCAACCAAAGCTGTAAATGCCCCGTCCCTGTGCCAGGAGTGCCCTGGTTTCGTCTCCATGACTGTGTATGATGTGGTCATATGCAAGGGTGACCATAGAGTTTTTTATCAAAATCAGAAAACTTTTGAGTGTGAAAGGGGAAAAATATTAAAAATTATGTCAGAACAACAGGTGTTAACTGGGACTGTCCCAAGCCAAGACATATTTTTGCTGTAGATGAATTCTGTTGGTTTTGTAAGTTGATCCGGTGTCTCACAGATTGAAAATTATATTTTTATATCTGTGCTCTCTGTTTTAATAATTAGCCTGTTGATTTTCTTGGATTGTCTATGTGTATTATCTACAAATAATTGTTATTTAGGATCTTCTCTTCCCTCCTGACACTCTGTGCTTTTTTCTTGTCTTATTGCATGGGGCAGGGGTGCCAGTACTGTATGGAACCTTGGTGTCAACAGGCTTGCTTGTCTTGCTTCCAATCTAAAGTCAAACAGTTCTTAAAATCCAGAAGACGAAGACAAAGGCAGGTCATGGGCTTAGAGAAAAACTGACTTCTCCTGTCATTGAGGCCCAAGAGAAATGTCCCCAGTGTGTCCCAATGGAGGAGACACCATGTGATATTTTGTTTCCTTCTGCTTCCTCAGAAAACCCTTTTGCCGTGCCTCAGGATGGGGGAGGTGAGACCTGAAGCGCCCGGCGCAGCCTCCAAGAACAACTTCAACAGAGACACCCGGGAGAGCCGAGGGGCCGTGGTGGTGGCAGAGGAGGAAATACTGCCTGTGCCCAAGGCCCCTTTCTGCGGACTTCTGAGACTAGGAGCAAACTCAGGGGTGGGGACCCGGAGGTTCAGGGGAGGGGGTTCTGAGCCGCCCGTCCGCAAGCAATAGTCCCATTTTGGGCTGGTGGCTTTTGAGAGGTGACGCATTGTAGACTCAAGATGACCAACACAAAGCTGCTCTGGCCCACCCAGGCCGGAAGGATTGAGGCCCATGCGTCGTATCTGTGGTTCCCGTGCCTCTGTTCCCTCCAGTAGTGGCTCGTGGGCCTATGTGCCAGAATATTGAATTTATGAGAGTGTGTGTGTGTGCGTGTGTGTGTGTGTGCACGTGTGATTTGGGTGTTCTTTTTGTTTGGTTGGTTGGTTTTCACTGGGTCCCTCCAGGTTCTCTAATGGGCATGGGACACCACTTGGGGCTCCTCGCCAGCCCCTGGGTTCGAGCGTTGCTGTAGCTTGCAGGATGTGCCAGGCAGAGCAGAGAGATGGAGCCTGGCCCGGCTGTGTTGGGGGTGCTAGGGTTCTGAAAGTCGTTGAGGGCTCGTTGTTAAGGAAGTCATTCTCATAACAACAGTAATAACAAGGGACATGTCTCTGACCATCCACGGGGCAGGCACTAGGTTCATGCACACCGTCTATCACCACTGGTGGGGGTGTGATGAGCCCCCTGCAGAAATGTCTCCGAGAGGGGAAGGTGCCCAGGGTCACAAAGCCCTCAGTTTGATGTCAGGGGTGTAGGAAGCCAACGTCTAAGCCGCTAACCCAGAACACCCTCAGCATCGTCTGGGGGCATCTTCCAGCCCCTTCACAGTGGACGGGCCATCGCTCCAGGTCTCCGCCATCACTGTCCCAGACCCCGGTTCACACAGCACATTCTGCTGACACTCTGCTGTGTGCCCGCCCCATGTTGGACAGTGCTGGGCACAGGAAATGAGTCTGGAAGTCCTCATCCCTGCCCAGGGGAGCTGCCATCTGGTAGGAGGGACAGACACACACCTTTCCTGGACAGGGTGACAAGCAGTATGGAAACCCAGAGGGGAAGTTTCTAGAAACCCTTCCATCTTAAGATGGGACTTCCACTCTGACCTGGATGCCTGTGACATTCATCCACAGGGCTCACCGCCGCCTGCGCCCACCCCGCTGCCCTGGGCACACAGGAGAGGTGTTGCCCAGGATTGAGCTGTCAGTCCGAAGGGTCACGCTGCCAAGGGAGACACACTCCCCCACTGGTGTCAGTGAGGCTGAAGTGGCCCCCCGCTTAGCTCGGTGGGCCCTGCTCAGTCGGCGCGTGTCCCCTCGGACCGCGTGCCCAGTGTCCTCGTGCCCACCTGCTGTCCGTCAGGTGCAGCTGTGAGCAGGCAGGCCCCTGCTCGCTGCCCACGGTGCTGGTTCTGTAGCGGGGCGGAGGGAGCAGAGAAGGACGGTGGTGAACACAGAAGGCCGCAGTAGTGGAGAGCACTCTGCTGGGGATTCAGTCAGCAATATGTGCGTGTGGGTCGTGCTGAGTCTGGGCCGCTGGGGACGGCCTTTCTCTGGACTGGACCGCAGGCCGACGCTCTAACCGCTGAGCCAAACCGGCCCGGGCGGGAAGGCCTTTCTAAGCCCAGATCTGAATGATGAACAGCAGCCAGCCATGGGATAGGGGAAGAGCATTCCCGGCAGAAGGAATAGCTAGTGCAAAGGCCCTGAGGCAGCCGCAGGCTCAGTGGGTTCAGCGCATCAGGGTGGCTGGGACCCAGAGGGAGTGCAGAGTGAGCGGTGAGGGTGAGTGAGCCTCTGTGGTTCGCTGGGCACCAAGCCCCACCCTTTGAACTTTCCGGGGAGTGAAATCAATTCAGGGTGGGCGTGGCCTCCTTTCCCTTGGATGCAAGTCATCCCAGGATGTGCCAGGCCTTGTCCATGTGGAGAAGCAGTTGCCATGGAGACTGCTCAGCGGCCGTTCGGTCCAGGTGCATCAGCCCACACCTGCATCCCATGTGCGCAAACGCGGAAGTCAGGGGGCCCTAAGGGGGAGGCTGAGGGGAGAAGTGGGCACGGGACCTGGACTCTGCCATCGGCTGGGCGTTAAGAGTGGTGTGACCTTGGGCGAGTCCCATGCCCTCCCTGCCCTCATTTCCCTCTCCGGAAGAGGAGGAGTCAGATCAGGCATTTGGGGGAAGGTTGACCTTCCTGTGGTTTCAGGTGACATTCATGCAACCACTCATGCCCCTTCTCTGCCAGAGAGGAGATGGTGGCCTTGCCTCCCTGCCCTGGAGGCCTGGGGCCAGAGGTCACTGTCATGACCAGCCAGGGCTAGGGTTCTCCTGTTCCGGGGCCTGAGACTGACAACTTGCAGGATGCGAAACATTCAGGATGCTGGAGATACAGGCCTGGGGTGCGGAGACCACTGCACCGCCCCTCCCAGCTGGTGGCCTTGGGCAGATCACTTCCTCTCCAGCCTGTTTCTCACCTGTCGGGTGGGGGTGGCGCAGGAGGAAGGTAGCAGCTGCCTCATGCTGTGGGGAGGGGGTGAGGACAGTGTGGGTGTGAGCACCCGTGTAGAAGGCAAGTGTATGCAGCTCGGTCCCGATGCCAAGGGCTCCCCAAAACCCTGCGGGACCCCGGCTCACCCCCACAAAAACCCGTCCCTGTCCTACTGCGGTGGGTGGACGTGTCAGTTAGTAGTGTCCCTAAGAATACGATGCAGGGTAGTGACCAGTTCAAGTAGAGGTTTAGAGAGTTAGCGAATTTTAGTGACCCCCAGCCTGTGTTCCAGCCGCCTCTGTTTACCTTTTCCTGTGAGCTCTGGCTGTCACCTCGTTGTCTGTAAGAATAATAACAATAATACAAACAGGAGACGAGCAGAGAAAGGAGAGGAACTGGTGTTCGATGCTGGTTTGGAACCGCTCCCCGTATGTAAGGACTTCTTCCCGCTGGGAACTGTGTTGTTCGTGAGCAGTTTTATGCTTTTCCCATCCGACTGTGGTGTCGCTGTGGTGCGTTTGGTTTCTCTGTTCAGCACCGGCTGGCAGCACCCACGGGCCTCCCGCCCCCACCTTAACCTCTGAAATCACCCCTGCACCCGAGGAGCAGCCTGCTCCTGCGGACACGCCTGGGGCCGCCAGCTGCCCGGCCAACATCTGGCACTGACCAGGACCCACGTGAAACAGGCCTTAATTGAAAACACACATGCACGCACACACACACAGGCGCACACACACACACACATGCACACGTGTACACACGCGATTCTGCAGGTAGACCCCATCCCTCCTGCTGCCTCCGTCGCTTTAGGAAAGTGGCAGGTGGGCAGCTAGCTGGGGTGGGTGGCATTTCCCCTCCTCATTCAGAAACCTCTCCGGCAAATTTGGGCCCCAGGACTGGAATGAAGGACTTGGGGTAGCAGGCAAAACACGGCCAGACATGAGGGTCACAGACTTCTGCTGAGCTCACCGAGTCCAAAGCTCCATTTCGGTCGTTTCAATCACGAGACTATGGGGGTGGCCGTGCTCAGCACTGTCCCCCACGCTCCCGACAGAGCTCGCAGACCCCTGTCCACACCTGGAAGGGGCCTGACCTTCCCCATCTCTCCACCCACTGTTCCTGCCGCAGCCCCGCCCCCGGCCCAGCTGACCCGCTCGCCGTGTCCACAGGAGGTCACGCCCTAGGACCTTTCCCAGGCTCACAGGCTTTTCGAGCCGGTTGTTGGCTTATTTCAGTGTCCCCCCACTTGGCTGATGGCTCCCCACCAGCAGGAGGGGTCCTGCCCTAGGCGGCCTTCAGAGGACTTTGCAGAGGCCTCGAGCAGAGTCCCCGTCCCCGTGGAGCTGCGGGCGGCAGTTCTCGCCAGTGTTGAGAGGCAGCACGTCATTGCAGGGGGACATCTATGTGGGCCCCTCATCCGCTATGCAAATCGGGTTGGCCTCATACAGGCAGCGCTAGGGGATTCTCGATCTTACTGCTCACCTGGCAAGCATCAGAGGGTATCTGCCTGGTCCCCGCAGACCATCTGAAAGGTCAGAGGGGCAGCCGACCACCCGATAAGTGGGTGACACTGTGGTCACGGCCGTCTGCAGCCCTGGAGCACATCACCAGGCTGGGTGATGCCCTGTGCCCTCCAGACAACACTCACTGCACACCCGCCAGAGCCTCCTGGGCTGCCAGCCCCCCCTGGTGGCGCAGACACAGCCCCAGGTGCAGAGTGAGTGTATGCACCTTTGGGGCCAGAGGCCTGAGAAACAGACACGGAAGTGGGGCAGCCAGGCCAGACGGACGGTTCTGGAAAGGCCGTTTGCTCACACATGCATCCATTCATCCGTTCAACAGACATTCGCCCGGCTCGGAGCCGCGCTCACCTGGGAGCAGTTCCTGCGGTAGGTGGGGACGTCGGGAATCTGCCGTGTCCGAGGGAGAGGCTGGGATCGCCTACGGAATGACTCGCCGTGCCTAACAGTTAGGAATGCTAGGGTTCGCAAAGCGAGTAGGGAGCCCGTACCTAGCCCGTCCACAAAAGTGACCTTGGAGGTAGCATTGCCCCCCGCCCCCAAATTTCTAGTTCTAGACGCTGCCAGAAAGCTGGTGCTAGATAGACGCTTGGTGAGTCAGTGGCTGTGACCATTAGTCACACTGTTCCTAAAACTCCTATCTTCATGTCAAAGCCCTGACCCATTTGCCCTTGACAGACTGAAATTCAGGGCTGCTGCAGTGCTCACCTCCAGGGGGCACCATTCACAGTGCTGTCACAGACATGGCAGTGGGCCCCCAGGGCACGTTTCTATAGACTGCGCTGTGGACAGTGGCTCCTGGGTTTGTGCAATGCGGGGCCCAGTTGAATTGCCCGACCTCTACCCCTGAACATATAGGCCCCGTCAGTCAGACGAGCCCTGGGGAGGCTCTCTGTGCCCATGATGGGCAGCGACAGATCGCACAGCCCCCATGCACATTGTGATCACAGCCAGAACCAAACTGGAGACTCGAGAGAATCTCTTCTCAGCACCTCAGCTCAGTTTCTCACCTGCGGTTTCTTCTGATCTCCCCGTTTTCTCTGCGAAAGCTAGTGGGGTGCATCACGTCGAACACCGAGCAGGCAGAGCCTGGGTGATGTGCAATAACTAAGCGGGGAATAAGGGTGGGGCTCAGTCCCCCTCACAAGGCAGGACCCCCCGGTTGTCCTCCCCGGGGTCAGCGGGACAAGGGCACATGGCTGCCGGTGGGTCAGAAACGTCTTCCCTCCCCTGTGAACCCCGACTTCGCGTGAACAGGCACAGGGGCTCTCTGAGAGCTGCTAACCGGGAAAACCAAAAACCAATAATATTCCTAATATTATTAATAACAATAATAATAATATAATGTAACAACAATAACGTGTT